TTTTCATATGCATCTATTCTTAATTTTACTGATAATACTATCTCTTAAGAAAGAAAACAACACGGTGAGTAATTAAAAGCTCTATTTCCTCAGCACAATAGCACGTTATAATACACTATTTTTTCGTTTCATAAAGAAGATGGGTTTCGTGTCAATAAAAAAATTAAAATCTTCAATAGCTAATTGTAATTATGCGAGGGAAGCACGGATCTACTATAAAACTTGGCATTGATATACTTTGGTAAGAGAGTACTAAAGCTTCATTGTCATAAAGAGAGCAGTAAAGGGTTTCCAGAGCAGAAATAAGGAACCGTTTTGGGAAAAACGACACAATAATCACGGAAAAGTATCCTATATTAAAATCGCCATGAAGGTAGAATTCTTACTCGTAAGGAAAAATTTAACTTTTCCTGCGGCATTTTTTATAATGGTTGCATACTTTTTATATCAAGCCTGATTGGATGCATCATTAAAAGCAATTAAAAATTCCATGAACTTATAATTGTGGATATATACATATATATTTTACCTCTAGCACGCTGAAATATAATAATATCCACTGTTCAAGAAAAAAAGTAAAGAAAACCTTTTTTGATTTAATTAAATTGCAATGTACTGTAAGACACGAGTACAATATGACATGAGTACAATAAGACGATAACACCAAGACTGAAAGAAATATGTTATAAATTATTCTATTATCTTGACAATTTCAATTCCACATGTTTCTTGATGATTTCGTGGCTATTTAACTGCTAGTACTATTATTAAAAACTATCAATAATTAAATATGCATTTACAACGAAATTCAATGAATGGAAGTGAGTATGAGAAACATAGAACTATCAGTACATGAATTAATAAAAACACTGAAGATAAAAATTTGAACTTGTTATTAAAACCTTAGTAGTCACAAAAATAGATTAAGGAGAGAATGTTAACAATTGGTGTGAATACGACACAAATTCGACAATGTTTATATCTCTTCACGTACCACCCACATTCTAAAAGCTTTTTTCTACATCACACTGTAAAAACGAAATGAAAAGGTATTTACATATCGAGATTTGGGGGGTATTTTACATCAAATGTTGACCAGTCAAGTTTCCCCCGAAATAAATTAATAACTGCTCTAAGGCCGGGGAAGGGGGAGAGGAGATATGGAAAAACTCTCCCATTAAAAAAGAACAGTAATTTTAAAAAATCAAAAATTATAAATATGCTTCAAATTATACATCTGTGAATTTGTTTCAATCCTGTAAATAATAAATGCAATTTAACATATTTAACATTTTTAAATGTTGGTCCCGAGTTGTAATTCAAACAATTTGTAGTTGAATGGTGGTACTAGTAGAACGGCAATAAGAATATCGTTTAGTTATTTAACTTTCACTCCTGCAAATTAAACAAATTTAATAAGTTATTTATATATATTAAATTATTATCATGAGAAAGAAATTAAATTAAAAAATATGTAGTTCACTTATTTCCTTTCGATATGCCTCTGCCCTCTTATTGCGGTGGGCAGGGCTGCTGCTTGTGTCTCAACTGTGTCGTCGGGTTGCCTGTCTCCCCTTGCGTCGTCGCGTTGCCGGTCGCCCGAGGCGGTGCCGGCGGCGGTGGTGTGGCGGCAGCCTGGACATTCGCCCGAGACATTTGGGAGTCGCCACTGGCATTTGGGACTTTCCGTCGAATTAGGCTCCTAACGGCGACGGCCACTTCCCAGCCAATACCATTACGACCCGCGCGTCAACGCATCCCAACTGCCCGACGCGGCTGCCGACCCGACGACAGCCCCGACCCCAGCAACCGCAGACTTGGGAGAGAATTTATTTATTCACGGGACTTGCGGGGCCCTTCAGAAGAGTTCGTAAACGTCGCGTAAAATACGGGATCGTCCAGTTTTTCCGAGTTAGGTTCCGTTGTCTCGAAAACAGGGTGGCCACGCTCATTTCCTCAATATTTCCAGCTTTTCAATATTTTTTTGTATAATTTCCTCATAAAATTTGTGTTATCAATCCAAAAGAATATTGTAGGCAGCCTGATACTACCAGGGCCGTTCCATAATTTCACCTCGACAATCTATAAATTAACAATTTTTGAACATGTAAAAAATGAGCCAAAATAACGCCATCTTACTTTTTTTTTTAAATCTAGCTTTATAGCCCTCTCAGAATTTTTCCTGACTTCGAATGATTCTTCTTTAAATACCCTGACGTTTCCTTGAGTTTTCCAGTGCAATTAAATTTTATGATTTTCCTCGGATTTCCATGTTTTCCAAAAAGTGGCTACCCTGCGAAAAGCTTTGTTGGGAACCCCAAAATGTCCCGTATGTCCCGTCCTTCGTCTCAGTTTGTGCTGTTGGTAGCTTCAACAAAAATAGTAATAATAGTTTTCTCTTATATATCACATGGAAAAAAGAAAAAATGGACTTTCAAAGGCCATCCTGTAACACGCACATCTCGTTGTTCAAGGGACTTTTGAATATAATCACATCCTTACTTATCCAATCACAGCTCTGAATTAAAGTTGTTTTTGACGTATTTATCGAAACCGGTGCAACGTATCAAAAATCTACTACATTTAAAAATGAAAGCTGACAAAATTGCATGGAAGATACTACCTATTACTCTATTCCCCAAAGCATTCAAATTATTTGTTGGAAAAGATCGATTTGGTTCGAAAATACCCTTGATTGAGTCACGTGTTTTGATAAACCTTGTATATGAATGAAAATGATATACTATTAGTGATATCACGTCTTTTCCTCCTTGTTGAGATGAAAATATATCAATGTTTTGTAGCCGGGTTTCGCGATATATGTAAACTGACTCCTTCGGTTTAGTTTTGAATGTTTTTGTGTGAAATATTTACTTTTAGTGCTCACTAGTCGAAAAAAGGAGCACGTGTAGACGGAGACGTTTTCGCTGAAACAACAAAAAATGTTTCGGGTCGTCATTACCAAGGAATCCAACAGACTCCCATTTCAATGCCTGTAAATGTATTTTTATGATTGAAAGCGATTCGGACCTAAAGGCGATCCTTAAGCCGTTCTGGAAGCGAGTTCCAACCTTTGATCAGTGCATTTTGTTTTTGTATATATGTCACCCATTAAAATGACGCAAACACATTCCAGAATATTCGAGGAATGAGGAAAGACTAATGACGTATTTATTCTTAGAACAGGTTTTATTCCTAATTATAGCAGATGCATTAGATTACCTAATACGACATAAGAAAATTAGCAAATATAATTTAATTGATGGGAATTTTTCTGTCAATGAAAATTCAGAATTGCGAGAAAACAATAATTCAAATAATGTAACTATATTTTTTCACTTTATGCCTTCTATCTAGTTTTAAAACATTTGGCTGATGTAGTATTCATAATCTTCCGGTCTAATTTGTCTTAAGATTTCTTTCGAGTTTCATTAGAGATAATTCAAATGCTCATGATTTGACATAAATCTCAAGATCCTGTCAAGTGAAATGTGTCGCTAAAATTCGAACCCTTTCAATAATAGTGTCATTCCAGAGAATGGGCAATTAGTTATTAGTGCAGAGTCGAAGGTGTGTCAACACCGATCTATTAATCCACCAATGAAGTTCCATATTATTTCTTATCATTTGAAACATATCAAGAATTGTGGATGAGGCTCCTCGTAATAATTTAAAGAGGATTTCAATCGAAACCCGCGATACGAAGCATGAAACTTATACTCTCTGTTTTCTGAAATCCAACATATCATGCGCACGTGGTACACTTCAAATCGTATTAAAGCGCGAGCTGATTAAATCAGAACTACACAAAACAAGTTCTCATTAATTCTGGAAACGAATAGTTGTTACACTCACGAAAATTGTGTAGACCATTGTTACAATCTGGACTCGTTTGTAGCTAAATACTTTTACATCATATTACTCAATTTTCCTAAGTCTTTTGAGATATGAAACACCATTTTTAATTCTGCGATTCCTCCATGGAAGGGAGACTTACGATTCCTTAATATTAACTTCTCACATCGTAGCAACAATGAAAATCTATAAACTATAAATAGAAATACACTAAATAGAAGAAAAAAAAATGAAACATGCAAGAAAGTACTCCGCTACTGAAATTGTTTTGTCACCATCTTCCTTTTACAAGGGATGGTAACAGCTGAATGAGTAAACAAACACGAGAAAGTGAGCGATTATCACTGGTTTTCAGAGAATCCTCCTAGAAGTCCAGGAATACTGTCCGCAAGTCGCTTGCACGCAGGCCAACAACACTGGTGTACTTAGAACATAAATAAATATCTACTTACGTGCATCATAAGGCGCAAATTTTTTGAGAAATTGCCAAGCCCTTCCTTTATCAATAGCATATATCCAACAGGGTATGAATGGACAGGGGTGGAGAGATGTGAATCGCTCCTTCCCCAGAGAGCGATATCTCAAATACGAAAATAATTCATTTGACCCCAGACGCAATCCATCCCTATCTGACGGTAGACTCATTTGAGGTGTACTCAGCTCGAAATACTCAAATCAAGGTAACAAAATCTAGAAAACGACAAAGAAATCTCGGAAGCATTTTTAGTTTGCCTTTTTTTTCAGACTTCATCATAAATAAGAATATATCTGCGTTTCACTCAATAATAATTCGTTAATTCGGGCACCATTGCGATTTGAAGTAGTCGCCACGAAAAAAATTGCTGATTCGCACCGTTTAACAAAATCCGTATATCAAAACTTGTATTCAAAACTCCTACAAAAAATTCATATAAGAAAAACCGGATACATCAACACTCGTATAACAAAAGTCCGATACTTTAAAACTCGTATAACAAAAGTCCGATACTTTAAAACTCAGATACTTTAACAGTCGTATAACAAATCTCCGATAAATCGAAACTCGTAAACAAAAGTGTGCGTTGGCATGGCCCCCCCAGCAGCTCGGAGCGCAGGCGCCGTCGTCGAGCTGTGTGGGAGGCGCGGCGCGAGGGTGGGCGACCTACCTGGAGAGGTTGCCGGCGGCGGAGGTCTGGCCGGCGTGGAGGAGCGCCGCGACGCCCGGCGCCGCGGCTGCCGCCCCCGTCCCACCGCCCGCCGCCTGGTCGTACGCCTGGTGCAGGCCGGCCAGCGGCAGCTGGTGCTGGACTTGGTGCTGCGACACCTGCGCCACGTACATGGCGCCGCTCTGCTGCTGCTGCTGCTGGTGGTGGTGTTGCTGTTGTTGTTGCGTGTCGGCCGCGGCGTCGCCGTCCACTGCGGCCCCCGCCCGCCCCCACCGCCGCCGCCTTCCACCGCCGCCCCCGCCCCCGCCGCTCGCCGGCGACCCCAGTTGCGTCAGGCTGCCGTGAGAATGCTCTCCCGTCGGCTGGCCGCGGGCTGCAGCGGGCGAGCTGTGCGCGAAGTCGGCGGCGAGCGCGCCCGCCGCCCCCCCCCCAACAGCCGCTGCTGTGCTGTTGGTGATGGTGGTTGTGCTGCTCCGCTGCGTGATGGTGGTGGTGGTGATGGTGGTCTTGGGGCTCTCCAGCGCCGGGGACTCGCTGTCGCCGTTGCGCGCCAGCTCGGGCGACTCGGCCCCGGCCGCGCTCTGGTGGCGCAAGTACTCCTCGGTGGCGTTCTGGTAGGCGTAGGTGGCGCGCCGGAAGTCGTCCTCCTGCGCCTTGAAGGCGGCGGGCAGCGCCTCCTCCAGGCCGTCCTTGGCGTCCTCGCGGAACGTGTACCCGCCGGGCACCACCTGGTGGGGAAGGCGAGGCGGCGGGGTCCGGGCTGCCGCCGGCCTCCGCCTTGATGTGTACAGCCCACGGGGAAGCTGTCCGCCCGCAGCCGCATGCTGGGGAAGTAGGCTCCCGCGTGCAGTGCGCCGGCCGCCGCCGTGTGTGTGTCGTCGAGCGCGCGGGCGCGCCTCTCGTCTAGCTGTGCTCTTCGCCGCCGCTGCCCGCCTGTCTGCTGTTGGTGCTGCGTGGTGCGTGTGCTGCTGGTGCTGCGCTGGTGTGGTGCTGATGTACTGCTGCCTGCATGTCATGGTCTGCGTGCGCCGCGTCGCGGATTGCAGCTCCGCCGCCAGCAGGGCGTCCTCGCCGGGCGCGCCTGGGGACGCTCCTTGGTCGTGCCCCGCCTCCTCGTCCTCGATCGCGCGCGCGCGCCGCCGCTTCCTCCTCACCGCCGCCCTCCTCGTAGTGGTGGTGGTGGTGTGTGGTGGCGATGGTGCACCTCGTGCACGTGCGGGTGCTGATGATGGAGCTGCTCCGGAGACGGCTGGTCGGAGGATGTGGAGGAGGAGGAGGAGACAGCTCGTGAGAGGCGACCACCCTCAGATCGCGGACGCTGCCCAAATACTGGTAGTCTGAGGCCATGGCGAGCCAGGCCGGCGACGGCGGCGGCGTCTTTCGTCGCCGGCCTCCCTCCCGCCGCGAGGAGGGGCATGCGCGCCCCCCTCTCGGGCGAGCCGCGCGCCGCTCGTCGGTCCGCGCATTGGTACGCGAGCGCGCCGTGGAGAGGGTAGGGCGTGCCGGGCGCCGAGCGCCGGTGGGGGAGTCTGCGGCGCCGCCGCCCAGACAGCGCCCCTCCGCGTCCGCGCCGCCATTTTCCAAGTCGGCGCCGCCGCCCGCCGCGCTGCCCGCGCTGCTGCTGCGCCGCCCGCCGTCCGAGGCCGCGCCGCGGGCGGGTGTGCAGCAGCGGGCGTGCGGCGGCTGGCGGGACGGGAGTGCAGGCGCGGGAGTGGCGGCTGTCGCCCTCAGGGACAGCCGGTAGGTGTCCTCCGGATCGAGGCCGTAGTCCGATGATAGCCCTGCAAACAGACACGAATCGGTTGTTAGACTCGTGGGTGAACGTACGTGTTCATAGCCACTGTGGCGGATCCGGAGGCGAACCCCCCCCCTCCCGCCACCAAAGCCAACAATATTTGTATTTGAACATTATTTAGTCAAAATAATCACTATTATAATATCACCAAACCAAAGCTGTATCAATATGTATACTCGTACGTTAAAAAATCCATGTTTACAATGTTCAAAAATACCATATCAAAAAATATCTGAGAGGTCTGAATTGAAATTGACCTCTTTTCCCCTAAAACTCTATAGAGATCCGCCTCTGCATGCTTAGACATCTTGGAGTAATTTGGGTCTGATATGTGACGGATCCATGGTGAGGGTGTGCGATGGCCTTCCTTCCTCCAAACATTTTAAAAATTACTGTACTCCATTTGCACGAGGCAGCTGTTGCCCTCATGAGGCAGCCGGTAACGATCGTCACGGATCGACGCGTAGTCTCATGATAGCTTGGCCAACACAGACACCGCTTCGCTAAGACATGAGGGTGTGCGTATGTTCACAGCCAGTGACGAATCCAGAGGAGAACACGGGGCATTGCTTCTTCCCCTCCCCCAAAGCAAATATCTTTTGGAATTTAATTCAAACTATTCAATATAGTTATTTTATATCTCTAATTCTCATATCTAAAGCAGCATTCCCGTTATTAATAGTATACTCGTACGTTTTTCAATTACCTGTTAACAATTTAAAAAAATATTTTAAAATATTTTTGAGATTTGAACTGGAATTGGCCACCTTGTTCAAAATACTTTCTGGAACAGCCACCATAGCTAATGGTAAATAGTATATGGGGCAGTTTCATAATGAGGGTGAGAGGCTACTCCGAAAGCCTTGTCCCCCCACCCCGGGAAGTAAACATTTTTTAAAATTATTTTCACGGCAGCTGTTGCCTCGACGCGTAGTCGGCTGATTGTGCCGAAAGACACCACTACGTTCATACATGTGATTGGGCTCATTGATTGTGGTATGAGACACCTTGCGGGCCCTGTCTCTGCCCCACAACTCAATACTTTTTTATAATTTTACTTAATTTATTCAAAACTGATACAACTTCGATCGCATCCCACTCACCGATGTTATAAGTTTTTTGTATTTTAAGCTTACAATTTTTATATCAAAAATATTTATGTGAGAGGGTTCGAACTATAAATCCTCCCCCTCCATCCCCTAGAGGGGTTGACTGAGCGGCAAAATGTAATGAAGGTGCAAAATATATAATGTGTAAGTCAACTCTATACAGTAATATAAATCTTGTAAAAACTCAAAAACATTTATTACACTATGTAAATTGCAAGTCTTCTAATTTTCTCTTCTCAAAACAGTTTTAAATATTCATTCTATCTCGCAATTACATTAGCAATTACCTATTGTTAACATAGTTTGAAAATACGGTGCGAATCAATAACATCACACGTATTTTACATAAAGCACCGTGATAGAAAAATAACCACATTGCAGCAAAAACAAGAACTTGTACACTTTTTCACCTATGACTACTAAAGAGAAACTGTCTATGTCATACTACAATGGAGGGAAATGGTGAATATTGTTTAAATAGTTGTCAAAAAGGATTTAATGCACGCCAATATTCTAAGTTTTCTGACATCGTTTCCGCAGTATTGGTATCGGAACCACTATAATTTGGATTCTCTCGAAGCGACACCGACATAGAGGTACTTAAAAACACTAGAAAGGAAGGATACTTCCAATATCACAAATGCTTCCTTGCTATGTTCTCAGGTCAGTGACGTAAAACTTAGCTGGATGACGCTCCCTCACATTCCCCACACAAAACAAGAGAAGTCGGGAGAGATAGAGAGCAAAATTGACCTGCAAGTGACGGCCGTTTCTCTTGCGTTGGCACAGCATTCCTCTTTCGCAAAGGCATAATATTCTTAGAAGGAACAGCCGTCCTGCAATGTCGCTCCCTCCCAACACTTCTCCTGCACGAGCTGCGGTACGTCTGAAATGACCTAGATTTGCCAGTGCTGGTCATCAAATGAGGTATTGAGACTTTCTGAGGATTAATTGTTTTATGTAAATATTTGAGTTTTTACTAGTATTCCTTTCATTGTTATTTCTGCTACCGTCTAGGTAAAAATCGTCATCAAAATAACATCTGCCGTATTAACACATTTGCACCCAAATATTTGTTCAATAACTCCATTGTTTAATGAATCCTTATTATCCATCACGTGTCTATGTGACAATTATAATTAATTTTGACTACTAACTTATTGAACAAGCAGTGGCGCAGAATACTTTTGAGGTTAGCAACTCCGGAGTCCGACATGAAGTCCGCTCATTCCATCATGTAAATCTCTTTTGTATTCATTTATTATTTATTTTGACAGGTTGTACTAATACAAATAATGTACACTAGCATTATTTCGCAGAGGACAAAGCTCTGTACACGAACCTGCAGCGACTAAACATAGATCGGTAGCCTAAACATTATAGTTCATTATTATGAAAAGGAAAGAAATGAAAATATAAATATTTTCAATTTCATGCAAGTGCGGAGTGAAATTCAAGACATAAAATAACAATCGGTGATGGTGAACGATCGAATGAAAAGAAAAAAGGCATGTTCTTCGGATCATCGAAGAAAATAGATGTCTCACATCATTATTTATTGAAAAAGGTTCACTGATATATTTTTTATCACCGGTCGACAGAGATTTTGTTGAATGAGTAACTCCAGCTATTTCTCATGTACTTAGCTGCAATAAAGCCGAATACAATCACAAAAATGTCCCATCGGGCACAGTTTTTGTGTAATCGCATAAATACTAAAACTATATATTTCGCAGATAGCCACATGTCGTTTACACTGAAACGTCAGTTGCTTGAAGGTTTATTACAAGGCTGTGGTAGCCAACATTGTATGATGTTGTAGATTCCACTCAAGACATGAAATAGATGTCAGACCGGTCAAATCAGTTGAGCAACTTCGGGCATTGCGAAGGGAATTGCAGCGACCCACGTCAACGACGCGCTGATGAGGCGTGTTGTGTACGTGGGTCACTTCATGCTGGTTGCGCCCTGCGTGTCGAGCGAGAGAGGAGTTGATATTTCTGTAATGCTCGAGCCATATATTCGTTGCGTTCTAGGGTTAATTTTTGGACGAACAGATTCCTTGCAATCACGCGGCAGTTAGTAAACAATTCAAATAATTGCTGTTATGTATGTGGTGAGGTAACTTTGAAGAGCCAAAGACGGAATATTACTCCCATAAGAAGAAATGCATAAAAATTGTAAGTCGGGTGTCAAATCGGCGAGCAGTACAAATCAAGGGCCCCTCATATTTGTTGTGCGTCTTATGTAACATTACTTGGTGGTTGGCTTAAAGGAAACTCGTGACGTATGCCATTTGCAATTCCCACGGTACGAAGGGTACCAAAGGACCATCCCAGTTGAGGTTTATTTCTGCAATATTAAAATTGCTTGAATCACAAGTAAGACCAAGAAGACTATTCAATACCTCTCAATCTCTCTTCAGCCATCAGGTCTGTTCTTCACAGAGACGACCTTCCAATCCCAGCGTTCCGGAACAATTGGAGTTTGCATTACGAAAATTCTGGTGATGAAGATTTAAACGTAAGTACCGGAAAAGACGACAGTGAAGACCAGGTTTCGGTGGAATATCTACAGAATATCATAGAAACAGTAAAGAAGATCTAAGTCATGATTTAAACGTGTCGAAGAATCAGAATTGTTTACGACTCGATTAAAGAGTTGGAACCTCCTGCAGAAGGGGACCCCAATTGCTGTGTATTGCCGACGCGAATAAAATCTCCGACGCCTGTACTCAGAAAAAGGCAATTATGTGCATTGTACTGATGTTGATGCATTTACTGAGTGCTTTGGGAGTCTATCATGATCGTAAGGAATTAAGACTGTTGATAGATTCTTCAAAACTCAGTTTAGAAACCGGGCTTATTCACATCGGAAATGAAAAACAAACTACTCCTCTTGCATATGCATCCCACATGAATGAGATGTATCACGAAAATTTTGTTATCGAAGATGTAAAAGTCTTGTTAGGTCTTCAACAAGGATATTCTCAATTTTGCTGTTTTCTACACGAGTGGTTTAGATCGCAAAATCATTTTGTGAAGAAGCATACGCCTCAACGACATATGATTCCTAGTCAAAAATGTAACTTTGCAACCCCCTTTGTAATGATGCACCCGCATATCTTCCTCTCTGCACACCAATCTCGGATTCTCTGTGAAAAATTCGCGAGGGTGATGGATAAAAGTGGGCCAGGCTAAAGAATAAATTCCCATGGATCATTAAGGCGAAAATAAAGAATGGTATATTTGAAATGTCAAAAAAATCTTATGAGAGATCATGACTTTGAGGCAAGTTTGAATAGTGATGAATAAAGTTTGCATGGATGTCGCTACAAAAGGTCGAGCTTCAAAAGCTGAGACCTATAAAGAAATAGTGCCGAAATTCCTTCACAATTATAAATCTCTGGAACGTAACATGTTCCTTAATATACCCTTTGTATATTTACACGTTGACGTCTGTCCTGAAAATCTTGGTGCTGGGCGACAAACAGGACGATTCCACCATTACGTTGCAACTATGGAAACACTTTATGAGAGAATATGGAATCAAAATATGCTTGCAGACTATTGTTGAACACTAAAAAGATATACTGAAACGAAATACAATAAACAATAGTTCAAAATTACATTTTGATTGAGAGTATTATATGTAAGTAAAGAAAACAACCGTGTACACTTTTTAATTGCCTATTACAAAAAAACCAAAAAAAGTAAATGGTCCACAAATTTTAAATAAAAGCACAATTTTCCATAAAAAACAGCCATTATATTCCATTTAATAGAAAAAAAGTTAAATTTTGTTGACTAGTGTTATCTAATAAGGATAAAGCTATTCGAGAATCCGAAATGCGTGTATTCACGAAGGTTATTTAATG